GGTCCAAAGACGTCATTACAATTCCAAAAATACCCATATTGAAGGGTATTTGACCGTATTTCTCTCTTCTTCTGAAACTGGAAACCTGGCCGGCGCCAGTGGTGCACAGAAAAAAAAGTTGTTGAATATTACATCCAAACTGCTGCAACCAGGTCAATCCATCGGTTGTGTAATATAACGTTGTACGATGTACATCGATTTTGCGAACAAAATTACATCCGTTGATGTAATATTGTATCTGCTTTTTGCTATTACATCATTATTTCATACATCAGCTTGAATTACATTGATCGATATTACATTTTTTTTTGCTGTGTGTAGCGGTAAACGTGACTGCTTTCTCACCCCAATGAGTGCGATATCGTACGCAGGTGTGGAAGCTGCCATTCTGTACATTCGATTGCTGTCAATGTATGGCAATCGATGTCCATCGGTGATTGGCACTAGATTGCGGAACAGAGACCGTCGTTAAATAAAGGAAAGATGAAACTGGAAACCGCCATCTTCGATTTCAAAATGGTGTCGGTCATCGATTTTCGGTCTCTAGACGTCACCTCGATTCCAAAAATACCATATTTAAAGGTATTTTAAAGAATTTCGCAGTTTATGGATTTCAAGATGGCACTGGATACCGCTTTTCGGTCTCTAGACGTCATCCCGATCCTGAAAATATCCATATTGAAGGGTATTTGACAGTTGTTCCCATTTTTTCTGAAACAGGAAGCAGCCATATTGGATTTCAAAATGGCATTGGACATCAATTTCTGGTCTTTGAACGTCATCGCCATTCCGAAAATATTTTGACGTAGGACTACGTCTGTGATTTCTATCCAGCATTTTACGAGCACTTATGGCCGCCACAATCTTGCTGAGTTTTTGGTAGGGTATGTTCCCTGATTTGACGTTTGGGTTGTGTCGTTTGACGTGTAAACGTTCAAATTTGATCGTTTACACGTCAAACGGCACAAGCCAAACTTCAAATCTTATGTTCCCTACCAGAAACTCAGCCAGATTGTGGCGGCCATAAGCGATCGTAAAATACTGGATATGTGGGTACACTTTGGGAAAACCAAAAATGAAGCATGTAGCTAAATTATGAAAGATTTTGAACGTTAATAACTCAGCTGCCCCTGAGCCAATTCCAACAATTTTATCACCAATCGATCAAATATATTTCTACGCATCTGTTAAATTTAAGACTTTATCATTTTTCAAAAATTCACTATTAAAAATTGCACGAATGTTCAACTGTTGCTATGATAATTAAAATTATCACCGTTTGCCTGTGAAAAGCGATTTCCCTAACACAGATTTCAAAGTTGAATTCCATCCTGTCTCACCAAACGATGTTTATTCAATCACCGCATGGTGAGTGGTGGTGTTCTCCGGTACACCACGAAAGGCTCCCCGCAAGCAGCTAGCTATCAAGGCTGACCTCAACCGCTAATCGGATTCAGTTCCAATTATCGTGTGTGGTGGTGTCCGGTCGTCGGCATCAGCTGCAGCAGCTCTTTCGGCGCGTGACGTTGAACATTGTTCTGCAGTACACAACGAAAGGCTTCATGCAAGCAGTGAGCTCTCCGTGAGTCACTGTAGGTTATGCATGCCGAGCGCGTCACCCACATTCCAAACAACATACAGCTCACCAGCCTCATCTGTGTTTAACACCCTAATAGCTCAGCATTACTCAACCATCACGACAAAACGGTCCTTTTCAGGACCACCATACATTTGTAAAAGAATATTTTTTGGACATTCCTCAAGGTCATCAATCGGATGTCAGTTCCCATATCAAGATAGAGCTGGAATTAGGGCGTAACAGCTTTTGTAAACAATGACTTCTTGAGAATTTACACGGATTATCCTTCGGGTCGGTCCGATGGTGAGATATTTTCATGATATTTTTTTGATTTTTAATATGAACCTAGCACTTTTCCTTGTCAAATCATAACCGAATCGTATATTTGTAACTTTGTGGATCATGCACGACTTATTACTATGTATACCGGAAATTATAGGTTTTCCAAATCGTCCAGGACATCAGTTGATTTGTTTTACTAGATCAACCAATCATCCAATCAGATTCAATGTGGATCATGCATGGTCTATTTCCGTGTAATCCAGATGTTGAAGGTTCTTCAAATCGTCCTGGAGTTCAGATAATTTGATCTACTAGATCAACTGAGATTGGGACAATGTCAAATATTTTCAGACAGATGCACAGTGTCTATATGGATAATGTATGATTTATTTCCACGTATACCAGATGATCTAGGTTCTCCAAATCGTTCTGCATTTCATCTGATTTGTTTTACTAGATAAAAAAAAAACGGGGATAATATCTGTAGTATCGAAATATCAATTGGGAAATCCTAGAACATTTGGCATTCACGGAAAAAGGTTGGTATGATCCACATAGACACTGCAAATTTGTTTGGACTTTTTTTTTTTTTATTATAGTCTCTTTAACGCTCTTGGGTCATTCGTGACTTGTCCGGGGGTGAGATTTGAACTTGTGACTTTGGCGTGAGAGGTATGGATGCTAACCACTACGCCGGGGTCGCCCCCGATTGTTTGGACATATTTCGATACTAAAGATATTGAATTAGTCTTGCGTGATCTAGTAGAAAAATAATCTGATCTCCAGAATGATTTCAGAACCTATAACATCTTGTATACGTTGCAATAGGTCGAGCACGATCCACATAGACACCTTGAATCTGTTTAGACATATTTTGCAGTCTTAGTAGAACACATTAACTGAACTCCAGGACGATTTGGAGAACCTAGAATATCCGGTATACATGGCAATTACTTGCATGTATACGGTTCGTTTATGATTTGGCAACTAAAAATGCTATCTTCATATTGGAAATAAAAAGAAACATGAAAATGTCTCACGTTGGATAGACCCCAGGGAATTTCCGTGTAAATCTGGTGTGTGAGTCATGGATTTGACATCATTTCTCGATTATTTGCAAGGTGTTTGGTTTGAACCGGTAAAAAATTGAGAACCGGTAAAAAATGAACAACAAAATTGATGACAGCAAAATAAGCCGGGACGGAAAGGTTACAATGAATTCCACAATTTTTGTATCAGGACATCAGTCCCTTCGTGATTTTCGCGACATCATTTAATGTTTTCGCGACTGAAAGTTCAAATCCGCGACAAATCCGCGAAAATTGCGAAATCCGCGCCTGTTGTAACAACCCTGTAACTCTTAAACAACAACAATTTATGGTGGTCCTGAAAAGGTCCGTTTTGTTGTGATGGTTAAGTAAAGCTGACCTATTAGGGTGTTCAACACGGATGAGGCTGACAAACTGTATGTTGTTTGGAATGAGGGTGACGTGCTTGGCATAGATGGCCCACAGCGGCTCACGACGAGCAACAGAATCCGATCAGCGGTTGAGGGCAGCCTTGATAGATAGCTGCTTGTGGGGAGCCTTTCGTTGTGTACTGGAGAACATCACCACTCACCACACGCGGTGATTGAATGAACACCGTTCGATGAGACCGGATGGAATTCAATTTTGAAATCTGTGTTAGGGAAAGCGCTTTTCGCAGGCAATCGGTGATAATTTTAACTATCATAGCAACAGTTGCATATTCGTGCAATTTTCAATAGACATTTTGAAAAGTGATAAAGTCTCAATTTTAATAGATTAGTTGACAAATTTCCTATCGAATGGCGAATTGAGAATTAAAATCAGATCAGACAAAAATCAGACCACGTTCATGCCGCGACCGACTTTGATTTTTGAAATTGCAACCGCAATATTGCCTTAAAATACATGGTATGTTAGATTTAAACTTATGGGACCTAACATCCGATTAATGACCTTGTCATGTCTCGAGTCACTTTTGAAATTTGGTCTATTTGAAAGTTAACGCGAGAAGTGTCCAGAAAATACTGTTTAACAAATTTATGGTGATCCTGAAAAGGACTGTTAAGCTATTAAGGTGTTTCACACAGATAAGGCTGGCGAGCTGTATGTTGTTTGGTACGGTGACGCGCTTGACATAAATGGCCCACAGCGGCTCACGGCGAGCAACTGAAATCCGATCAGTAGCAGTGCAACTTCTCCCTCCTTCTTCGGCGAATGGACCGCTCGCGGTTGCGGGCAGCCTTTCGTCGTGTACTGGAGAACAATCTACAACGCCACGTGCCGAAAGCACTGCTGATGCTGCTGATGATGACCACTGGAAACCAGTCACCACCGGGGTGAATTCGATTTTTATATTTGTGTTAGGGAAAGCGCTTTTCGCAGTCAATCGGTGATAATTTGCATTATTATACCAACAGTTGCACATTCGTGCAATTTTCAATAGTGACCTAAAATGTTCATTTTAGCAGATTCGTAGGTGATATTCCAATCCATCGGCTTTTTTAGAATTAATATCCATCCGCTATTGACCACTTTTCGAGACGCGGTCGATTTTGGTTTTTTGAAATTGCACCCCCAATATGTTGCCAAAAGACGTAATCCAACGTCAAAAAAATATTTTAAAATTTCCGAATTTTAACTTGAAAATTGTCGAGGAAATGCGTGGGAAAGGATGTTGCTCGTGAACATTGCAAAAGTATGGTTTACATCTCACTGCAGTTTGAAAGATTATCGAGAAAATCTACCCAAGAAAATATCGACTAAGTCCACGTAAACAGTACCACTGAAATGTCATCCGATTGAGGTTAACCCCGACGGTGCAAAACCTAATTAGGTCAAACGAAAACGCAGACAAATGTATTGGTTATAAAATTCTGTTAGTATTTAAATTGTACATTTACATTTACCATTAAATTGATAGAAGCATTAAAGTATTCTTATAGCAAATGCTCAATTGTTGGCTACAAACATGATCTATACAAATTGGACTGGAATTTTTAAATGGAAATTCAATTGCAGCAAGTCTTACGTAAATAAAAAGCAAGTCTTACGTAAATAAAGGAAACATTCAACACTATTTCACCCGATTACCTAAATGCCGACTGTATATTTCAGATACACTTCAAAAGAGCTAAATGAATAGTGACGTTCATACGACATTGTTATCCCTAGAAATTAACTCACACACCCATACACATTTACCTTCGCTCACTGTGCGGTGGAATAATATCCCCGTGTTGCCGTGATGATGTGTTGTATCCACTGTTGTTTGTAGCTAGCCTGCATGCTTTCCATGCACGGCTGCTTTATATCCTTTCCTTCCTATTATCAAATCTCTCCATGCCTCATTCTCTTCTCATGTTTTATTTATTGAGCTTTATCGACTTCGTCTCTCAATTGGTAATCAGCTCTTAGTTGTGATGAGGATGCATACGAATCTTATCGTCGTTCTCCATCCGAGCGGAATCGATTTCCGATACCGTCGGTAGCCCGCTGGGCCACTCCAGCACCTCCGGTTCGTGCTGCATAATCATCTCGGCTTCCGCTGAAACAAATCATCATTAATTTGTGAGCTATCAATCAATATAGTTCTATTGAATAAATAATCAGCAACCTATTATTCGATGTACTTTTGTCCCGTACGCCAAATCGGCATAATAAGCCACGATGAATGTTAGTGGCACAATCGGTGCTAGCGTTCCTGGCATTTTGGTTTTGTTAAATCGACCAATGAAGCCAAGTGTGGAGACACAGTAGAACGATCCCAGCCAGTAGAATAGTTCCCGAGTACGGGAAATTTCCATCGCTGCTTCCCGTTCCTTGATCTGGTAGTGCATCTGGATCCAGCGTTCCATCTGAAAAGACGCAATTAGTTGATCAATTCATTTCGCCACTCATCATCTAAAATCACCTTAATTTTATTCATCTCGGAAATGTACTCCTGGTTCTTCTTCAACACTTCCGCCCCAGTTGGATGCGAGAAAAAACTTCCCATTTTTGTTGTTGTTGTTTGTAACCGTAAGATTCTACTGTTAACTGATGGTGCCCTACTGGGTATATCACAGCCTCACACACTAAAACTATCTATTATTGAAATCGATCACCCGAAATCCGTACAGTTTTTCAGTTGAAAGCAAAGGCAATTGGTTGTTCTACAAATTTCGCTAGACTTATTGTCTCCAGCTTCACTGCACCTGCTCTGGACTCTTCTAGGTCAGGATAGAAACTCTGTCACTGTTACGCCACCAACTCGCTCTGCTCTGCAGAGTAAACATTCTTGTTGTATACACAAATATGACACTTTCTGAACCTTTACGTATTTCCGTATATTGGTTTTTGATTAGAGCACATGTTTGGGACATACTGCGCAGACGCATCGTTTCCGGTGTGTGCCGTTCTCTCGTGCCCATTATAGAGCCTGCTCTCTGTTTATTTTGTTTCGACTCGACTGAAACGATGGGACTGGTAAATTAGTGATAAGACGATAAGCATCGGATTAGGAAATGTGCATCTAAATACTTCATTGTCTTTCACATAATCAGCGGTAGCTGGCGACTGGGTGCAGTTTATCAGATAACGGCGATTAAGCAGAGAGTCATTCCTTTTTCACAGTACACGGATTCAAACAAGCCAAATGTGGCGTCAAGTGGGTCATTAGGTCGAATTCCACTAGACCGAACGTTGTTAAGTCCGGATTTATTTTCCAATGTGTCGTTTACAGTAATTATCATTCTATGCGAAACGCCCTGAGCATTGGCATAACCTTGAGAATTCCTTAACTGCAATCAGGTCCCAGGGTTTGTCTGTATCTTTACATGTTGAAAGATGCACACTAGTGATGCCAGTTGTGATGTTGCGGACCAAAAATTTGTTGGAATTTAACTACTAGTCAAAATTAAATAGTTTTGTAGTTTAGAATTATGACTTTAACTATGAACTGCTTTTCAAAATAATTGAGTCTAATTGGTTTAATTTTGTTTGGAATTTGACATCACACAGTAAGGGTACACGGTCCTAACCTCGGTCTAATATGAAGCCTTCAATTACATATCTTATTTAATAATTGATCTGCAAACGATATTTTACTGGCAAAACGCAAGTTTAGATATTCTTATTATTTGAATATTAATTAAACACGACCAAAAATTGTAAAACTCACTATTTTAAAATGAAAACTATCCAGGTACGTGGATGTAATGTCGGTCTACTGTACTCCACTTGGGTCTTTTAATGGATGCAACTTCGTCCTATCGAAGATGAACCTCGATCTTCAAAGGAACTTTACCTTACCAATTAGGCTAAGGCCTTGTTGTCCTCTGCTGTCCGAAGAAGTCGTCTCCACTCTACTCGATCCATGGCCACACTTCGCCAGCCTCGTAGTCTGCGAAGAGTCCGCAGGTTGCCGTCGATCCACCTTACCCGCTGCGCGCCTCTTCTTCTTGTTCCTGTTGGGTCGCTTTCTAGAACCATTTTCACTGGGTTGTCGTGCGGCATTCTTACGACGTGCCCAGCCCACCGTAGTTGCCCAATTTTTGCAATGTGGGCGATGGATGGTTCACCCAGCAGCTGCTGCAATTCGTGGTTCATTCGCCTCCTCCACATTCCGTCCACATTCCGTCATCATCTGCCATGATGTCGATGTCATCGGTGAAGCCAAGAAGCTAGATGAACTTCCTGATGATCGTGCCCACTCGTGTCTATTCCAGCTCTTCTGATCACATCTTCTTACGCGATGCTGAATAGCAGACACGAAAGTTCATCACCTTGCCGTAACCCCCTTCGAGATTCAAAGGGACTCGAGAGTGTCCCCGATACTCGAACAACGCACATCACTCGATGCATCGTCGCCTTGATCAATCGCGTTAGTTTATCCGGGAATCCGTACTCGTGCATAATCTGCCATAGCTGATCTCGGATCGATTGTGGTTCTGCAGAACCTGCCGAATCGCGAAAATTTGGTCCGTGGTAGCGCGGGCACCCATGAATCCCGCCTGGTATTGCCCCACGAACTCTCTTGCAAATGGTGACAGGCGGCGGCATAAAAATTGGGAGAGTACCTTGTAGGCGGCGCTCAGCAGTATGATCGCGCGGTATTTACAGCAATCCACTTGTCGTTTTTTTGTAGATTGGGCATACGACACCTTCCATCTTCTTCGTATTACTATTCGACTTTGAGTGAAACACGCTAAAAAAAAATTAACATGAAAAAGTTGTTGTTCGAATAACTTTTTTTCCTTAAAAGCGCCCACTTTGCGATGTATGAAGAAAAGTTAGGTAATTATATTGCCTTGCATGAGAAAAAATATCAAGCAAATCTGAGGGGTACCATTTTTGGGAAAATGACTTTTAATTTTTAAATATATTTTTTTAGAGTGTAGAAACCGATTTTTTATTTTATTTAAATTTTTTTATAAAATTTCAGATTATTTGCTAAAAGTTCGCCATACATCACTATTTTGTAGGGCTTGTCATTTTTAAGCTATATCGATTTGAAAAAAAAATCGACAAAAAACTTTGACCCTTATCAAATGTTAGGCGAGATAAATTTTGAAAAAAATAAGTACGCAAAGTTGCTTAAAATTGCTAAGTCTCCACACCCACAAAGTTCCATAAGGTTCTGAGAGGGTGCTGCCAACCACTGGATGAGTTGGCGTGAAATCCGTCATGTTTTGTTTTTGTTAAATTTTTTATACTTTGTAACTGTGAATGATGGTCATGAAACAAGTCATACAATTAAGATTTTTATTTTTAAACAATGCTTATAAAACAAAATTTTTGTATTATTTGCTTAAAATATCCCTAACAATAAACTTATTATAAGAAACAGCACAAATTAAAAAATCACAATTGGTCAAATTTGTATTTTCCTTCTACTTAAACTTCTTCCTCATCATCAGCATCATCATATTCTTCTTCTTCTTCTTCTCCTTCTTCTTCTTCTTCATCATCATCATCATCATCATCTTCTGGTACCATTTCGCTTGAGTCAGTTTTTGTCTTCATCAGAAATTTAACTTCCTCTGGTAGACTTTTAAAATTATGTTTTTCCTTCTCATAATAAGAGTTAACCATTGGATCGGTGGTGTGTTTTCAAGCTTATCCTTCCGAGTGAAATGCTCTCTAGTGTTTTTAATGACTTTGTTACATTTTTCTTGAGCCTCCTCCGTCATTCTTCCAATCGGCAATATCACCGCCTGAACAATGCTATGCCCATGAATCAAAATTCTGTGCATCGACGACGGCATGTAAAACCACGCGTACAACTCTACGTAGCGCTTTGCGGTATCAATACAGTAAATTTTGAATTTAGCTGGGTCTATTTGCTGGGAACAAGAAATTGCAATAAGAATGTTCCGAAGTCTTGTAATCAACTCCAAATCTACTCCTGTGATTTCGGAACTGACTTTAGGATTGGCAAAAAATCTACGAGCTGTATTGCCGTCATTGCTGTTGCCAAATCCTCCTGGCTTCGGTTTGTCGACAATCAGACCTATTTTGCTCTCCCATATAATGTCCTCTATGTTCCAATCATCTAGCAACCGCAATGGAACAAATGATGAAAAAAAAAATAGTGGAATCTCTATTTACATCGATTTGGAATTTTTGCTGTGAGTCCCGAAGCACCATCACAACCCCACTTGGCAATCAAAGTCAAATGCTCCTCCTTACCATCTTGCAATCGGGGTTCAATAGTACTTTCTAGCAGCAGCAGTAACCTTTCAGCGGTTTTATTTAGAATAGCCTGGAGAACAATCTTCACATTGCATTCTGTGACAAAAAATGCGTTTTGCGGAGGATAACATTCCTTTTTGGCTGTTTGTACTTGGTAGTACGGTGGGTACCTGAAATAATAAAACCATTGTATTTTACATACAAACTCCTTACTTTCAACTTAATACCTGTCTTTTACTGGTTCCCTAATAATGTTGTAACTATATCTCGTCAGTTTTGCCATCACTAAAATGGACAACGCCTTCTCAGGTGTGATTTGAGTGGTTTGGTTGTTGAGATCAATAGCCTGTTTAATTAAATTTGCTGCTTTGTAATTGTGGTCGGCACGCAAACTCATTTCCGCAGCAAAGCTTAACTGATTTGACGAATATTTTGCTCTAATTTCCTCAGTACGGCGCCGCTTCGATCGATCACTGCATTCTTCAAAAGCTTTTTCAGATTTTCCTAGCCGCCAAGGTGCATCAGATGGTGGTATTGCATATTCCTCTAACCAATCTGAATGGTCCTTCTCAAAGCGGTCGCGCTTCCGTTGGGATTGTAGAAATTTCCTGTTGAATGCTTTCCAAAAAATCTCAAACTCTTTTTTCGCATTCGAAGGAAAGCATTTTTCCGCGGCTGCTTTCATCTTTTCTAGCGATTCTTGATGTTTCATCGTTGCGTAAATCTGTTTTCTTTTTAGTCCGTTTCCTTTAGATTAAATGAAAACAAAATGATTTTTGTAACGGTATTGAAAATATACGAATTAAAACGAAATGTTAGATCACTATTTCACGACATAAAACGCAAAGAAATTCACCATACTAAAAAAAAACTTATTGCTACGGTACGGGCGACCGCTCTCGTATAGACAGTGGTTATTCAGGATTCATCGCAATTAATTTGTTCTCCAAATGCAACTTACTTGTATTTACATTATCTGTATCCATCGCTGATTTGGATTCCATAATTAATTTCGATGATAACGTATAATAATAATAACTTCAAACCGATAAACGTATTTGTGAAATATATGGATAAACTGATACCGTAAAACGGGGTAACATTGATAGTTTTTAAAAGTATTTTCTAAATATTTTTACGGCAATGAATGGTTTTCAAATTTTACTTTTTTTAAACAAGTACTGAGGTTCCTTGAGTCCATTCGTTAGTAACATGTTTAACGAAAATTATTGTATTTGCACTATTTTTTTTAGTCTTTTGACCGAACATCAATCTTTTGATTTGGGGTTACTTTGATAATGCTCGATGAATATAGAAAAACATACGTGAATGTCAAACAAGTTAGTTCAAGAAATATGAAACTTTGAATGAGTATATAATCAGAAAAATTATAAGCAATAAGAAGACAACATTGAATATGTGATGGCCTTATTGGAAAAAAAAACATTTCATAAGTGATGGTTTGAGTGCTTTTTCAAACAGGCGAAAAGCAAGAAAATTGTTTTTTAATATGTTTGGAAAATATGTAACACATACTTTATAAAAACTCTTTACGATATCAAAGGTAATACCCTAAGGTACAATATGGAACCAATGTTTTCAATTCAGAAAAAGTGCAGCGGGTAAATTTAATATTATGATTATGAATATTATACCATCAAAGTTACCCACATTATCAAAGACACCCCGTTTTACGGTATCTTTTTACTGCTGCGCTACTACGTTTGGGAGAGAGATGAAGTGGTATGATAAAGAGTGTCGAGCACTTTTTATCATTCCTTTTACAAAAGACTCTCTGCCTTATCACTGCTTGTTGAAAGACACAAAGAATAATGCAGAT